ATGTGTTGGATCGTGATCGTGACGTAGCTCGACCTCAGTAACGCTTCAGTTTGTCTTTGCATGTTTCACGTCCACTTCTGAAAAGGTGTCAATCAGCTTCTTTGACGAGCGACTTTATCGACACATATTCCACTATGTTGCCACAGCACTGCCCCCTACAGTTCATGTGCGTATTACACAAACGCTCCAAATAGACACAAGACGTAAACACTCGATGATCTCTGAGCTAACGTCAAAATGTTGAGTTTATAGAAGAATTCCACTAAAGAACAATTATAACTAATATTAAAATATTGAGCTCAGACGTTCTGACACGTTGGTTTGTGGACAGAAGTAAAAATACAGAGTCGGTGGCTCGGCGCTCGCCTCAGCTGAAGAAGTCTTTGGAAATGGCCTCCACGAAGTTGGGGGCCGACATGAGGATGCCGATGGTGCAGAGGATGGTGAAGAGTGAGAACGCCACCAGACACAAGCGGTCGATCACCTCAGCAGCAAACTTCCACTCGCTGCAGACCGTCTCGTCCTCGTCCTGCCCCCGGAAACGCCCGGCGATGAACCTGACCTCCTCCAGGATCTGCTTAAGCTCCGCCTCCAGCATCGAGCCCCCTGCTGCTCCTCCTCTTCCTCCGGCCCGGCCCCCTGCCCTCAGCACATCCTCCTCGCCACCCATGCCACCTCCCATCAGCTGCGAACAAAGGAGCTCGGGTTCGGAGGGCGTGGCGTAGTGCAACCCCTCCACGCCCTGGAATCCCACGTAGAGCAGGTTGCCGTTGGTTACCTGAGGGTGGTGTCGCATTGACCCCTGACTGACACTCAGCTCCAGGCTGGAGACGCTGCAGCGCCGACGCTTGGTGGCGTTGTGACACCCCAGGTGGACCCTCGCCTCCCCGGGGCGCCGCATCCTCAGGAACCAAGCGCACCAGTTCAACAGAATAACACGTGTCTGGAGAAGAAGAAGAGGAAGAGGAAGAGGAAGAGGAAGAAGAAGAAGAAGAGGAAGTTAGAAACAACTGAGGAGGATTGTCTCACACACACAAACACACTTGGGAATTGAAATTAAAATGTGAAGCCAAAGAATCAACCGTCTGGGGGCCGGCCTCTCTGTAGGGAGGGGGAGGAGGAGGGGGAGGGGGAGGAAGAGGAGGAGGAGGCACTGACCCACTGTGGCATGTGTCCTCCATCAGGGTCGTGGTGATGATACTGCAGAACCAGAACCGTGGCGATGACGGACAGGCCCACGATCACCATGGTGGTGGCAAAGTACTGAGCTGAGACACCAGGAGAGAAGATCAGTGTGTGACATCAGAGATGAGTCACGTGATGGAGGGATGAAGGACGAGAAGAAGGACGGAGGGTCTCACCTATCAGAGGAACGGAGTCTGAGGTCGCCGGCATGATCTCAGCGACGAGCAGCATGAAGACCGTCAGAGAGAGCAACACTGTGATACCTGCACACAGTTAACTAGTTAAACCAACCACTCGAGCTGCAGACACTTAACTAGTTCCACTAGAGGTCAAAGGTCAGAGGTTATTTCCATAGAGAGGAACCAGATCAATGGAAACAACTGAAGGAAGAAAAGCTCGTTAACTGAGACGCACTCACACAAACATTCTCTGATTGAGGTTTTAAGAGCGTCATAAAACTGGATGTGATTGTTTCAGTGTGACCGTGGATCCTGTTTGTCCTGGTCTGAGCAGCATTGAAGATATCACAGGAAACCTTTTCTCTGCAGGAATCTGAATTATGTCTCTTTGCCAACGAGGTTGAGTTTGTTTGTTAACAGCTTCACTGCAAAACGAGTCCTTGATATCACGAACACAGAATGATCATGAGAAACATGTTAATGAGGGAGATTCTAGTTCAGACCGTCTCTCCTTCTTTTCCTGAGACAACGTGAAAATGAAGCTGATTTGTTTTCACATGTTCATCGAGAATATTTCAGGTTTTGTGGAAGAATAAAATATATTTTATGAATCTTCTTGTTTTATTCGTCCTGAAACGAGAGTCTGAGCAGCTGGAAGCTTCAGCTTCCTGTTTCAGGATGTTTCATGTCTGACGAGCATCGACTGAAAATCAGATCTTTATCTCCACCCAGACACGACGGAGGAGAACACAGCGTCAGACTCTTTTTGTTTTTCCTCAAGGAACAAGTTTCATTCTCAATGTTTTTCTTTGATGAGAGACGACAAATAAAAGAAGAGCGTCTCTGCTTTTCTCTTTTCTCCTCTTCCTGACGCCTCAGTGCTGCGGTCAAACATTCTAAACGTCCATTTGAAGCTGAAATATCCCAAACATGAACGCAACGTTCAGTTTGTTTGAATGTGACCTCGTTTACAAACACACAAACCAGACGGGGGGGGGGATCATAACATGTCCGGAGCAGTTGATGGAGGTTTTGAAAGACAGATCATAAACTCGACACACGGAGCTGCGTCCTCACCCAGCGAGATCTTCTCTCCGGAGTCTGCCGGCAGCAGGAAGACGAGGAGAGCGAGGGTGGAGATGAGGACGCAGGGGATGAGGAGGTTGAGGCCGTAGTAGAGCGTCCTCCTCCTCATCACCACGGTGAAGGTCACGTCAGGGTACGGCTCCTTGCAGCAGTCGTAGAAACGCTCGTTCCTTCGGCCAGGAACCTCTGGAAAGAGTTTAAACACAAGCTGCAGGAGAAGTGAAGCGAATGAAGCTGCTCAGGTTTCATCAGATTAAAAACCAAAACACGATGGATTCAAATACGATGATAACCACAACCTGTTATATCATGAATCCTCTCCTGGCTGTGACCTTTGACCTCTCACCTCTGTAATCCGGCTACAGAATTTAATTATATTTGAATATAAGTTGAAATATTACAAATAAATTCAAATGTTATAATAAAGTGTCTCTTCCTCTCTCCTCCTTGATGGTTGATGCAAATAGAAACAGAACATCTAAAAAAGAATCTCAGTAAAATGTTAAAACAAGCAGCTGAGATTTAAAAATATCACGATGACTCTTACCCACGAGGTCCCACTCTCCGTTGGCGATGTATCCGGTGACGTCGGCCTCGATCATCTGCAGGTCCAGAGTCCAGCCGCCGTACGTCCAGGAGCCGAACTTCAGGTCGCAGCGCTGCACGTCGAAGGGAAACCAGCGCACGTCGATGTAGCAGCTGCTCTTAAATATTCCTGAGATGAAACCAGATGATGAGGGAATCATCACAAACACAGAAAGAAGATTCAGAAGAAAGGAGACAATAACGACAGGTTAACATCATGTGGACAGACTGAAACACTGAAGCAGGAAGGAAAAGATTAAAAACATCCAACTTCAGAAACAATAGAAATAACTCCATGAACTTTGTTTTTAAAAAAGTGGATAAAAAATATTTTCTCAATTCAAATTTCAAAGTATTTTCCATAAGTTCATGTTTGTCACAAACGTTCATTGTGTTTAAAGCTGCTCTCTGCTGTGATGAGTCTTTTTAAGAGTTTATCTCTCAGAGTTTCATCGGTGAAGCATTTTAAAGTTGGTTTTTAAAGCAGCGTGTTGTCGCCCTCAGGGAAATCCAATCAGTGAGCTTCATTAACTCCGCGTGCATCAGATCACATCTGCTCCCAAACCAAACCAACCGGAACCAGAACCAAAATAAAGTTTAATGATCCCTGAGGAGAAAACTGAGCAAATAGAAAAACACTGTGAAATTAAAGGCTGGAGTTCAATTCAATATATATACAAAAAATGCAATCCCAGAATTCCCTCTGTTTTCAGCTCTGGTTCCTGAAGGAGTCGATAAATTCAAATCTTTGTTTAAAGTTATAAACCCACACACACACACACACTGACCAGCTGTCAGTCTTAATGACGCTGTTACCACTTTTATTGGTTACTGATTTCAGATCAGCCGATGACCTCATTTTAACCTGGTTCCTGAACTCCACGGTGCTCAGCCAGAAAACACAGCCACAGCGAGGACAGTGTCATCGTCGCACAGTCTGAGCAGGAACAAGAGTGTGAGCGAGATCATTCGAAAAATCTGAACAGGAAACGGTCTCAAACTGATCGACCTCGCTTCAGGATCAGTGGGAGGAGCCTGTGTGTTACCTGGAGGCAGGTACTGACAGTATCCGGTGGAGTTGACCAGGATGTTGGTGTGGAAGGAGGCATCGAACCTTTCGTCAGCGCTGTGAAGAGACAGAGGTTCACGGTCAGCGTCCGTCAGCGAATCACACGATCACACGACCCCCCCCCCCCCC